CATTCACTATAAACTCGACGCCAATGGCTGTCAACCCATTGAACAGTATTTTAGAGACCAATGCTTTGCACACTATATGCAGGTTATCTGGATATGGGTTCGGGTCTACAAATGCAGTACCAGTACTCGATCTAAACCCTTGAGCAGTAATGAATTTTTGCAAAAGCATATATCCGGTCTGATTGGGACCATTAATGTCCGTATCCTTAAACCCAAGTTCATTTACTACGCGATGATATTTTTCAATTATTTTATCAGGATTTTTAGCAGTAGATATTTGAATGGGTCCACGAGTTCCGTGATATTCGGAATTACTGTTCACAATATATGGATCCGTATTGTTCTCCCACTCCCTGAACACCGGCAACACATCCCTATAACTCCAACCGACGGCGCCGTACGTATTGGCCCACTCGTCAAAATCGCGACGATTACCCCGATTGTAGTACATAGTGTTGTGCGCTGTACTACCGCCCAGTGTTTTGCCTCTTGGGTCGGGCACTCGGCCGCCAGCGTATTGTTGGCCGTAATAATCGTGCGGTTCGTTATAATATTTCCATTCATTTACATTATCCATATATATCTTAGAAACCATTCCCGGGATATCGTTATACGTAGCGCTTTGAGCGCCTCCCGCCTCCAACAACAGCACCCGTACGGACTGGCATTCGCTCAGCTTATTAGCGACGACAGCGCCGGCAGCTCCGGCGCCCACGACTATGAAATCATAGCTTTTGTCCCATTGTGTACGCGAGGCTGTCCTGTCGTGTATGAGCTGTCGCTGCGCTGTTATCCACGAGAGGACTAGTATTTTGTATGACAAGAGCGATATATAAGCCATACTTCAGATCAATCGCTAATAGTAATAGTTAAATAAGTTTTTAGTTATATTTTATTTATATTTGTAGCTAATTCAAGCTTTTATAAAAAATAATCACAAAGAGTATTTATTAAAGCAAGAATCTACATTTATGTAAAACACTGTATTTGTAAATAAACAAGGCTTGCAAACAAGACTGACCCATAAATTAAATGTTTTGTTAAAAAATCATAATTAAAATGTGATCTGCCACATTTTTAAACTAATAATTAAATTACATTTGTAATCGCAATTTAGTTTTTACCTTGAACCTATTTTTAGACTATTTTACTATGTTATTTCAGAATGAAAATTAGGATTCTGTAGTACTCTTTTTAAAAATTTTATTTACAAATTTAAAATATTATTTATTTATGCAACTTGTTTTAAAACCTTTTCTAACATGGTTTGTGACGTTTTTGAGCGTCGGAAAATTATTGTTAAATTTTTTAACAAATAACGTACCAGCAGCGGAACCAGGGGTATCACCATCTGGGTATGATTGACCTGAAACATGTAAATAAAATTGTAACTAGATATTAAAATTGGGGATAAGGAGCTTATTATTAATATATTGCAAATGGACATGAAATAAGTTTGGGTGGTTAGGGTTGACTTATGTTTTACATTACTATTTACATTACCATTTATATAAATACCACATTTTGGTTAATTTTTAAGGCTATTTCTATATTATATAAAAATACTATACAAAAAACTATGTAATAATTATAATAATTGCGATTTTAGTTATTTGTATCAATTTATAGACATATTCGATACAGTGATCAAAATGGACAGAATACCAAGTGCGATAGCAATCATCATGCTTGATTACTATGAATTAACTACTGAATTACTATGAGTATTTTATTCATTACAACATTGTAAAAACCTGGTGGTCTGAGTTATAAATATATATCAATGATAATACAATTTTATAAAAAAGCAACCTTTTTTATTTAAATTAGCTTAAGATTTAATTTAGCTAACAACCGAGATTAAAAATTTTAATAAATTTATGTTTTCATGTTAATAATACTAAGTTATTAATTATTAAATTATTAATTAGTTATTAATAAAAACTCAAATAAATCTAAATCTCAGTATAAAACTGTAATAAATATTGTAAATTAAAATTTAAAAAAAGATTTTAATCAAACAACGAAAAATATATTTAATTAAACAAAAAATATCATAATCATAATATTAAAATTGTTGTTTAATTGCACAATTAACATACATTTTAATTACTTAGATTGTAATACTCTTTAATAAATTGCGCGCATTTATAGCCAACCACTATAGAGGCGGCCCCAGTGTTGCCGTTCGGGAGGACCGGGAAAATAGACGAATCGCAAACCCTTAGATTGTTGGCCCCCTTAACCCTCAACTGAGGGTCGACCACAACGTCCGGCCTCTCTATCGCTCCCATACGGCAACTGCCCGACGGGTGATAAGACGACAACGAGTTTATCCTAATATAGCACTTCAGTCCCTCAGAGCACTCATACATGTATTTTCCCGGACATACCGGACACCCGATATCGGCAAACGATCGCAAGGGTTGTAAATAATTGGCCAGTTGTGTGCGCTCGACCAAATAAAATTGCATTCTCACGGCATCCAATATATTAATCTGGTCCTCCGGGTCTGACAACCAGTTGGGGTCAATGAGTGGGGGCAACAGTGGGTCAGTTGACTGGAGCCTTATTGTGCCGTAACTTTTAATTCTCACTAAATTTATACTCGTTTTAAGCGTTGCGTTAAATCCGGTGTAGAACATCTCTACATTTGGCCACTGTTTGTCACGGTTTAATTGAGTGCTATAATACAATATGGACACGGGGTATTGTGACTGTACACCACTATATTGGAAATATAGCTGGCTCAATTGTTGTACATTGAATTGTGGCACTTCGTTGACTAGATAGGAATACTCGGGCTTTAATGGCACATCCAGTTCCACATTAGGGTGATTGTGATAGTTGTCACCAACTGGTAGGTCCAGCACCACAGGTATGCCAAAGCTGGTCAAGTGCTTTCTTGGGCCCACACCCGACAACATCAATAGTTGGGGAGTATTTATTGGACCTAAAAGTAAAACAAATTATAAATTTTACTCTATTTAAGTAATTAAAATAATATTATCAATATTTACCGCCGGAAACAATGACTTCTCTGTTGGCGTAAACCGTATACGAGATGTCATTCACTATAAACTCGACGCCAATGGCTGTCAACCCATTGAACAGCACTTT